TGCCCTCGACCAGAATCGACCCTGCGAACATTTAGTCCGCGGGTCGGCGCTTTATCCACTGAGAAAAACCGGCCAGGACTATAATTTTTCTTTTTTAACTGAAGTATTCTCCAAAGTGATTTGAAAATACAATCTTTTCATCGAACAGCTGTTAGCAGGTTAGGAGAATAAGCTGATCTAGACCTATATAAACTACACCATTAAATGCTAATACTCAGCACTGAACCATGTCAGCAAGTGAGGAGGCATACACTACATATTTTGCCATATTTTTTCCCTACCCTTATGGAGCTAAGCCTACGAGCCTCCAACAAATTTTAAAAGCTACTTAATACCACTTGGCTATAATGTCACACCAAAGAAACTAACGTCCATTCCTAGTAATCCTTTATATAAACTCTAACAAGCAAAACTGTTTTACGGAATATCAGAGTATGATCACTTTGGGGTGGGGTGGTAAATAGTAAGTAATGTTCTCACAACCTTAAAAAAAGGATTTTCTTCTGCTTGAGTTTTGTTTACATGGATGGAAAAGAATAAACTTAATGTTTCTGTTTTATCTAATCAGCCTGTCACTATGTTCACAAAGCCAAAGCCAGTAACAGTTTCTTTGGGACACCGATGCATAAAATTAATTTCAGGGTTTATTTTTAAAGTTAGACTTTACAGGTTATTCTTATATTATTATTTTCCATATGAACAACTGTAAACCTATTTTTGCCCACTCTTGACATTTCCCACATTTTCTACAATGAATGTTTGAACATTGTTAAACTTCATTACAGAAAGAAAGCAGGAGTGCCTGGTCAGTGTGTCTCAGTGGTTGAACACTGTCCCACATACCAAGAGGTCAGGGCACATGCTCGGGTTGTGGGCTCGATCCCCAGTAGGGGCATGCAGGAGGCAGCTGATCGACATTTCTCTCTCATTGATGTTTCCATCTCTGCCTCTCCCTTCCTCTCTCTGAAATCAATAAAAATATATTTTTAATAAAAGAAAAAAAAAAGCAGGATTCTTGGAGAAATGGCTGATTTTAGGACTTAAGCACATAAAATAACCTGGAGCCGTGGTCGGCAAACTGCGGCTCGCGAGCCACATGCGGCTCTTTGGCCCCTTGAGTGTGGCTCTTCCACATAATACCACGTGTGGGCGCGCACGTACAGTGCGATTGAAACTTCGTAGCCCATGCGCAGAAGTCGGTATTTTGTGGAAGAGCCAGTATTTTGTGGGAGAGCCACACTCAAGGGGCCAAAGAGCCGCATGTGGCTCACGAGCCGCGGTTTGCCGAGCCACAGTTTGCTGACCACTTACTAGAGGATCCTTTAGGGTCAAAAGTATGAAAGGGCTGCTATAACAATTTCAGCAACAAAATAAGTAATGTAGTTTTGGACTATAACCCAAACTATAAAATAAATATCCATGAATCTATACTGATATAAAGTAATGATTACATGCAAAAATAAGAAGAGATCAATCCACATTGTGCAGAAAAAAAGTTAACCCAGCAGGCCTGACTGGTATCCTTTGAAAGTTCTGCTTACAAGACTGGCCCTTGGCTAGCATCTAAGAACTTAGATTTCAAGAGGGCCCCCACCATTCCCAGCACTGACATGAGTGGCTCACACTATGCCTAAACTGTTGGTACAAACAATACAGATTATGCTGAACATCTGCTTTCCTCTAGGCTAGGGAGTCTAAAATGTGGGTATGTGCCTGGCACTGGATACTCATGTGATCAGCCCTGGTAAAAATCCTGGGCACTGAGTCTCTACTGAGCTCCGTGGCTGGTCACATTTCACCCACGGTGTCGTAGCTCAATACTGGGCAATCAATTGCCTCCTCTATGGTGCTACTGGGAGACACTCTGAAGGCTTGTGCCTGGCTTCCCCTGGATTTCATCCAACGTGCCTTTTCACTTTGCTGATTTTGCTTACTGTCCTTTTGCTGTTCTTAATCATAGCTGTGAGTACAAGGACATGCTGTGTCCTGCGAGTCCTTCTAGCAGATCATTAAATGTGAGGATGGTCTTGGGGATCCATGATACACATTCAGAAGAATTCTAAATAATTTATGTAGATACTTCACTCTCAAGGAGGAGCATTACTCCCGGATCCTTAAAAACATGAGCTATACTAGTGGGAAGGGTACAATATAGATAGCAGAGGGAAAGCGGAATTTTATTGTGAAAAAAACTAACAAATACTACTTGAGCCAGGAGATCAAGATTAAACTCATCAGTGATAAATTAAGAGCACACATTCTTGATGATGAAAATGGCATTTTTCCTCTGTGTTCTTCCTAAAACCTAAAACCCCAGTCTATGTATGAACATCATATAAACCCAAAATGAACAGTTAAAAAATATCCAGCCAATACTCGAGATCATCAAAAACAAGGAAACTCGGAGAAACTATTATAGTCGAATACCCAGGGCATTCTGCAGATACTTCAGAAGTGTCATGCCTTACTAATGGGCCAGTGGTTACTTAAAACCCTTCTTAACATAGCTTCAAAAGATCAAAAGCAAACCTCAAAAGATTAAGCTATCAGCAAGTAACAGCCTTCCAGGACAAAGAACAACACTTTTTTAAAAGAATGTAACAAAGTCCAACATTTATAATGTCTAGCATCTAATTAAATATTATTAGATGTGTCAAGAAGTAGGAAAACGTGACCCATAAAATTAGTCAATTGAGCAGATCTAGAATGACAGAGATGATGGGATTAAGCATATGGGCTCTTAAAAAACTATTATATATAGACTCAAAAACTTGAATGAGAAAGTAAACACAATGAGGAGAAAAGAGAATATATAAAAATAGACTGAAATAGAACTCTGAGAGATAAAATACAAAATATCTTAAACAATAAATTCACTGCATGGGACTAAGAAAGATTAGATTCCACAGAAAAAAAGATTAGTAAACTTGGAGAAATGGAAATAGTAGCTCTCCAAAGTCAAGAACAGATAACAAAACAGTGAAAAAAAATGCATAAAGCCTCGCTGACCTTCGCAAGAACATCAAATAGTCTAACATATGTGTTATTGGAATCTCAGGGAAGCGAAGAGAAAATACTACCTGAAAAAATAATGATCAGTATTCTAAAAAATTGATGAAGACCCACAAATCCAAAACAGTCAAACCTTAAGCAAGGATTCATGTACCAAAAGAACACATGCAAGGCATGCCATAATCAAACTCCTGAAAACCAAATGACAAGAAAAATCTTAAAATCGGGGGGAAAAATGACACATTGCATACAGAGGAACAAAGATAAAAATGAACACAAACGTTTCATCTGAAACTATACAAGGCAGAAGTTGTAATGATATCACTGAAAAGCTTAAAGCATAAAAATTGGTGACTTACAATTCTATATCCAGTGAAAGTATCCTGTCAAGAAACAAGCAAAAAACTTTTCCAAGATAGACAAAAGCTGAAAGAATTAATCACCAACAGATCTACATACAAAAAATGTTACATAAAGTTCTTCAGGCAGGAAGAAAAGTATACATGATGAAAACTTGAATCCATACAAATTATGAAGAGTGCCAGAAAAGGCAAATGTAAAGGTAAGAAAAGACCTTTTATTTCTCATTTTAAATTGTCTTTAAGTTAACTGACTGCTTCAAGCAAAAGTGGTTAACAATGTACTGTCAGGTTTATAACATATGAAGAAATAAAACATCCTATATAATAAAAGGCTAATATACAAATAGACCAAACAACCGAACAACTTGTCATTATGACATGTGCTGACCACTAGGGGGCACGCACGAAACATGGCGGGTGTCTGCCGTGGCAGGATGGTGGAACAGGTGAGCGGGGACTCCAGACCAAGGCAGGGCACCAGCTGCTGTCATTGGGGTGAGCCTCTGGTGGTTACTGAAAATTCTTTGCTCCCATGTGCTACTGAAAATTCTTTGCTCCCATGTGCCGCGGTCCCGCCAGCGCTCACACCTGCTGCTGGAGCCAGAGCCGCCGCTTGCACCTGCTGCCAGCACCCAGTGCCGGCCCTGACTGCCCCTCAGGGCTTCTCCACCTCCCCCTGCTCCTAAGGGGTGATCAGGGCAGCAGATGCCGCTTGCACCAGCTTCTGGTGCTGGCCCTAATCACTCCCCGCCATCAGCGGGTGCGAGCTGGATTGGCGTCGTCAGCCCGTGGGAGCGGCGGCAGCGAGAGTGAGGCTGCCAGCAGACAGGGGATGGGAGGGGCCAGGTGGGGACTCAGAGGATGGGCCGAGACCCGCCCTGTGTCCACTGCAGCCTTGCAGACCACAGTTCCTTTCAATGTGCACGAATTCATGCACTGGGCCCCTAGTTTGACTATAATAGCCCAAAAAATGGAGGGGAGAAAGAAGTATAAAGTTTCAGGTTCTTATTATACATAAAATGTTATGCTATTATTTAAAAGTAAAGGATGATAAGTTCAAATTGATTTTGTAAACTCTAAAGCAAGTAGTTCAAAAAGAGAATTTAATACAGCAATAGTAGAATAAATTAGAACACTAAAAATATATACAAGAAGACAAAGAAGGGAAAAAAGAAAATATAACAGATGGGACAATAGGAAACAATAGCAATATAGATTTAAGCCCAATCGTGTCACCAATTATATTAAGTATAAATGGTCTAAACCAGTGATGGTGAACCTTTTGAGCTCGGCGTGTCAGCATTTTGAAAAACCCTAACTTAACTCTGGTGCCATGTAACATATAGAAATTTTTTGATATTTGCAACCATAGTAAAACAAAGATTTATATTTTTGATATTTATTTTATATATTTAAATGCCATTTAACAAAGAAAAATCAACCCAAAAAATGAGTTCGCGTGTCACCTATGACACGTGTGTCATTGGTTCGCCATCACTGGTCTAAACACTGTGCAGAGCATCATGAGAGGTGCTAAAGGATAATTTAATGACTAAAATAGATCTTTGTGCCCTTGGGAGGGTTAGAATGAATCTTTATGCTTAATCTTAAAAAGGAAAATAGATTGTGCTCGCTTTGGCAGCACACATAGTAAAATTGAAACAATACAGAGATTAGGATGGCCCCAGCTCAAGGATGACATGCAAATTTGTGAAGTGTTAAAAAATTCTTTTTTTTTTTCTAAATTAAAATCAAGGTAACTCTGGCTGACCAGGGTTAGAGCACCAGATTCCTATCCACTTGGTTCTTCCACTTGCCTGAGGAGATTCACAAAGAAGCCCTGAAATACCCATAAGGCTCCAGGAAATACTGAAGTTGATCAGCAAATGCTATAGAAGAGTTTTGAGCAGGAAACTGACTAATTAGGTAAGGAATGGACCAGAGGAGGACACAACAGAAGTCAATGGGCCATTTATTTATTTTAATAAGTTTTTGGGATATGTTTTTATTGACTGTAGGGAGAGGGATAGAGAGATAGTAACATCGATGAGAAAGAACCATTGATCGGCTGCCTCCCACCCACCTCTCACAGGGGATGGAGCCCACAACCCAGGCATATGCTCTGACCAGGAATAGAACCAGTGACCTCCTGATTCATGGGTCCACACGACACTTAACCACATAGGCGGGGCTCAACGGGCTATTTAAATTGCTAAGGTGAGAGATAATGACTTAAATTAATAATATACTTAAAACAATTCAGGAAAAGGCAATAAGGAGGGGAAGAAGACAGATTCCAATTTTTTCATTAGACGTACTTCTTGATGTATTTAGAATACATAGGGTAAAAAAACTAAAGCCGAACTACTCAAAAGTGACCCTTAGGCTTAGGTGACTGCATAGACGGTACCAAACATACATAGGTCACATCAAGAAGAGTTCTGGCTATGTAGTACAAAAGGGATGTCAGGACTAGAGATGAGAGGAGAACGTAGGGACAACCAACCCCACAAGCCTTCCAGCTCTCTTCTCCATTGATGAGGGGAGGAAACTGAATTCCTTATTTTCAAGTACTTGCTAGCCAACAATAACCACCAATTAATGGCTTTCAGCTGAACTGAAGAAAAATAACAACCAGGTAACAATAATTCAAATCCAGCACTACAAAAGGACAAATGAAATAAACAGGTGAGTGATGAGGGGGATCTGCTCCTCAAACACTTGAACCAGAATTCCATCTAGATTTCTGGATAGGAAAGTTTCAGGTCATGTCCAAACTAAATGCTTATTTCAGAATTATATGTCAAGTCTCTGAACTAACGGTTATAGCTATAAAAGGGTACGTTTTCTACAAATGTCACAGGTTGGACCAATGCACCAATGTATTCTCAAATTAGCAACATAAAGCAGTAAAGAAGCATTTTAACTAAGCTCTGTATTTCAGGAGTGGTTACCTATGCAGCAATTCCATTGCTTGCGTATGCCGTGAGGTATAATTACTGTTACCTTCCTGACACACGGTATTTATTAATAGCCCAATTGTTCCTAGTTTTTGGTTGAAGTTCTTTTAATATATTTCACACATAAAAATAAAAAATAAAATGCTTCCTCTGCTTAAAATGAAGCAGTCCAGACCCCGTAATCATACTTTCTTCTTTGCCCTAAGTCATACCAATTTGATATGACTTGGCCCAGTGGTAAGACACTTACTTCTTCAATGGAAAAAAAAACAAAACTGTTTCTGAGTATACTTGAAATTCATTATTGAGATTCCAGAAATTGTTTGTGAAATAATTTTTGAAAATTCTGCTTTAAAAAATCCAGATTTAAAATTTTCTATTCAAAAGGCTGCTAGTTACTGGATTTATATTTTTACAATGCACACAATGTCTATTCATCACCTACAAAGAAACTAGATTGTTAATACTAAGGTACTTTCATTGTCGATATACGGTATACAGATGTATGGGAAGAAAGGGGAATATGCATTACTGGGAATGTATAAGAAAAATTCTAAGAAACATGAACAGGATAAAAATAAAATGTATTGTCCAAAGCAGGACATTTTTTGAGGGTGGAAATAGGCACTATTAACAACACGCCAGGACAGAGATGTAAGCCGTCAACTCTCCAAGGCCTATGAGGACCTATGGTCACCTTAGCAGCCACCACAAGGTGAAGGCTCACTAATTCCCACCAACACTTGCCTTTCTGAATTTTTCCTCCTTTGTCAGTAGCATGGGAAATTTACAATCAACTAGAGGTTTTTATTGTTTGAGCCACCTTTGAGAACACCCTTCACAACTTTAAAACAAAGGAGTGAGTCACAAGGCTGTACTAAAGTATAAGAGGAAGAGTCTACATCAGAAAAGAAAAGGAAGTGTCCAACTGCAGAGGCAACTAAATGTAAAGACAAAAATCACACTTAGGAAGGAGAGTGCCAGCTGGGGTAGAAAGAAAAGATGAAGAGATTGCCCAGAGAATTAAATGGGCCAGACTGAAACACAGGAAAATATTTATGTGTGGTTAAACATAATCATAATGTACTATATTGAAAGTAATTTGAAAGAACTACCTTCATAATCTTAATATTCATTAAAGCACCTCCTAATCTAGTAAACCAGAGCCCACTTTTTAAAAGTAAGATCTCTGAGGTCATTGTTAAGCCCATTACAGTTTAAGAAGAGCTCCTTTAAATGACATTTATAAAAATATTATATTGCTTATGTTGTTTTTAGCACACATCTATACTTACTTAAAAATAGAGACTAGGAACCTTCAGAAGCCTAAGACATAATAAAGAGAAATTTTCTGTATTCCTTATAAGAACTTTTTTAGTGTTTTCTGGAGTTTCTCCACTTTGTAGACTAGAAATCTATTCCAGCTTATACTTCTTGAGAACAGTCTAAGAGATCATCAGACAACTTACCTAATCTTAAACAAATCACTCTTTAGAAACAGAAAAATCTATCAAAAGTTCAACTGAAAAAAGAATTTAGGTACAGTGGTAAAAATTTACATCTGTACTACTTACAATTATTTTGGATTACTGCTTATCTATAATGTTTAAATGAATAGGGCAATGATGGAATATTTGCTTTCCTGGTACATAGTTTAGAAAAATGTAATTCTAAAAGACAAACAGACTGATCGGTCCTCACCTTGATCGCTATCTTCCTACAAAGAATCACCTGAGATTGTCTAGGTTACCTTTATTCTTTAAAGAGAGAAAGAAAGAGAGAGAGAGGGAGAGAGAGAGAGAGAGAGAGAGAGAGAGAGAGAGAGAGAGAGAGATTGAGATTTAATAAAGTGGCAGGATGAGGTGATAGAGATGGGTGGAAGGTGCAGGTATAAGGTATAGCCTAGTGGACAATGAGTTCCCCACTGTGGAAAGGTCCACAAACAGGATTCATAAAAGCAACCATTTCCCAGGATTCCACATCAGGATTTTAAGGGCATAGAGAAAATGTGACAAGCCAACAATTATCTTTGAAGAATAAACCACCTGGCCTTCCACAATCACAGATTTTGTTTTTAAATGGAGAAACATGAAAGATCACATGACATAAACCCTTAAATTTCAGATGAGATGACTGAAGCCCTGGAGGATAAGTAATATAGTTGGATCCCCAATCAAATCAGTAAGTATTTATTGAACGCCTACTACAGGCAAAACACTATTCCAAGGGTTACAAAAAATACAAAAACGTATAATATTGGAGCCCTTCTTCAAAACTCCCATTCCCCGTTTCCCAGGTGAGTTACATGCAGGTAGCTCTCTGATGTTAGCAATATTCTCTTCCACATTCTAGCTTAGTGGTTGGAACACTTTGGCCCTGGGGCCAAGTCTGGTTCATCGCCAGCTTTTGTAAATAGAGCTGTGCTGGAACGTGGCCACACATACATTCGTGTATCATCTGGGCTCCCTTTGCTCTACGAAGCCAGAGCTGAGTAGCTGTGACAGAGACTTGTGGTGTGTAAAGCCTAAAATATTTACTACCTGGCCCTTCACAGAAAATGTTTGCCAAGCTCTGTTCTAGATCATCGTTTGCTCAACTTGAGGTTTTTGGTGTGGTTTGTTGTTGTTTTTTTCTCTCTTTTTATTTGAAATGAATGGAAGGCTGGTTTTGCCTGAGGAGCCACTGCCCACTGAGCAATGTGCTAGATGGTTTTGAAGGAACAGTCAGTGGGCTAAATATGGCAACTGACAGCAGCTCCCGGTAACAAGAAAAAACTTGTTCTGGCATATAAAGGACAAGGACCAAATGACACAGAATTCTAACATCCAACAAATATTTACTAACTAAGTGGGTGCCATTGGGCTAAGCTCTGGGGATACCCCCAATAAATAAGACCAACTCAGTTCACAAAGAACTGACTACCTGATGAAAGGAACACTTTTATATTAAATGGAATAGTAGAAGCTAGTAGACAATGAGTTAGAGACCTGGCCCAGGGAATAATGAACTGCGGTGAAGCTGGGGTGGGATAAACTATGCAAACCCAGGGACAGGCACACAGAGACTACGATTCCCCCTGCAGAGATCCAGTCCCAGGAAGTCATCAGGATTGGAAGCTTGTAACTATCTATAGTTGCCTCAATCCAAAGGCCACTACTGGTACATGGGTGGAGGTAACTTGATTGTAGGTTGCTTCCTGAATTTCTTTTATAGCACATTTTTGTTTAACCTTTCTAGTATATTCCTTTAGTGACATTTTTAAACTTACATTTAGCTTTAGTCATCTTAACCTATTTTACCGTGTGTTTTTCCAACCCCACCTCTTTTATTTTCTTTAGCATCTTCCAATATAGATATTATCACATGATTCATCTTTTTACACTTTTATGATTTCAGTATGTTGTGACTAAAAATTTATTTAGTTGTATATTTTTCTTATCCCCCCCCTTTTTTCCCATCTATTTTATCTTAGATATAACTCCTTCTTTTTGCTTCTTAAGAGAGACTAAGCAGGGGTAATCATCAAAATAGTCAGCTACCAGGAAGACATGGTAACTAAAAATTAAAACATGCCCAGCCTCAGAGTGGCGGTGGGTCCTGAAGGGCCCTGGTGTGCTTAGGATTCACCTTTTAGTTGATGAATCCAGGGGTGGTTCAAGGGGGTCCGGGGCGGAGACAGAAGGACTGGAGCAGCAGGAGTGCTTAGGGGAGGAGATGGCACAGTAGCTAAATATCAACCGATGGGAGGAACTGTAATCTCTCAACAACCA